TTCATTCCCTCGCCCACTTTCCGGATAGAAGTGTAGCCTTTCTATTAATCTAAGAAGAAGGCTACAAAAGTACCGATTTTTTTGTAAGCCATAAGCAACGTTTTTTTCGAATATGTCAGTGCCTGATGCATTTAACGGAGAGAAGTGTAGTGTTCCTGTGAATCTAAGCAAAAACCTAATACTAACCTATGTACTATGTTCAAGAAAGCTCTGTCATAAATATAAGTTTTCTAAATAAGTGAGTTTCTGGCCCAGTTGACGAAGGGAATAATTGTCTTTCTGTTAATCTATGCAAAAGGTCACCTATATACATAATTTCAAGTAAGTCCAGCCATCAATATACTTTTTCCAAATAGGTTAGTCTCTGGACCTTTTGCCGAAGAGAATATTAATCTTCTGCTAAGTTAAGCAAAAATCCACCTATGTACTATGTTCTGCCATAAATGAACTTTTTTCAAATAGATCAGTCTCAGGCCTAATTGACTAGGAGAAGAATAGCCTTCCTGATAATCTAAGAAAAAAGGTACCTATGTACAGAATCTCAATTAAATCCGGCCATAAGTATACTTTTTTCAAAAAGGTCTGTCCCTGCCCCACTTTTCGGAAAAAAGTATAGTCTTCCTATTAATCTAAGCAAAAATCCACCTAAGTTCTCTGGACCAACTGACGAAGAAAACATTAATTTGCCTCATAATCTAAGCAATAATCCACCTATTTACCGAATCTCAAGAAAATTCGGATATAAGAATACTTTTTTCAAATAAGTCAGCCATTGGCCCACATTCCGGAAAGAGGTTTAGTCTTCCCTTTTAATATAAGAGGAAGACAACCAAGGTACCGATTTTCATGTAAGCCATAAGCAACGTTTTTTTCGAATATGTCAGTGCCAGGTCCATTTCACAGAGAGAAGTGGAGTCTTCCTATTAATCTAAGCAAAAGTCCACCTATGTACTATGTTCTCCCATAAATAAACATTTTCAAAAAGATAAGCCTCTGACCTAACAACTTGACAATCTAAGAAAAAACGCACCTATGTACAGATACTCAAATAAATCTGTCCAAAAGTATACTTTTTTCAAATAGGTTTGTCCCTGGCTCACATTCCGGAAAAAAGTGTAGTCTTCCTATTAATCTTAGCAAAAATCTACCTATGTTCTCTGGCCCAAATGACGAGGAGAAGATTAGCCTTCCTAATAATCTAAGCAAAAAGCCACGTATGTACCGAATATCATGTAAATCCGGCCGTAAGTATACTTTTTTCAAATAGGTCTGTCCCTGGCCCACATTCCGGAAAGAAGTGTTGTCTTCCTATTAATCTTAGCAAAAATTCACCTATGTACTATGTTCAAGAAAGTTCTGCCATGAATATACTTTTTTTAAATAGATCAATTTCTGGCCCAATAGACGAAAAGAAGTATAATTTTCCTGTTAATTTAAGCAAAATGCCAACTATGTACCAAATTTCAAGTAAATCGAACAAAATTTGATATTCTTGGAATAGATCTGACTTTGACTCACTTCCCGGAGAGAAGTGTTGGGTTCCTATTAATCTAAGTAGCAGACTACCAAAGTACCGTAAGCCATAAGCAACGTTTTTTTCGAATATGTCAGTGCCTGATCCATTTTACGCGGAGAAGTGAATCTAAGCAAAAATTCACCTAAGTAATATATTCAAGAAAGTTCTGACTTAAATATAACTTTTCCGAATAAGTCAGGCGCTGGCCCAGTTGACGAAGAGAATAATTGTCCTTCTGTTAATCTTAGCAAGAGGTCACCTATATACCTAGTTTAAAGTTAATCCAGACATCAATATGATTTTTTGCAAATAGGTCAGTCTCTGGGCCAATTGCCGAAGAGAGTAATAATCTTACTGCTAATCTAAGCAAAAATCCACCTAAGTACCGAATCTCATGTAAATCCGGCCATAAGAATACTTTTTTCAAATAAGTCAGCCATTGGCCCTTTTTCCGGAAAGATGTTTAGTCTTCTCTTTTAATCTAAGAGGAAGATAACCAATGTTCTGATTTTCATGTAAGCCATAAGCGACGTTTTTTTTCGAATATGTCAGTGCCAGGTTCAATATACGGAGAGGTGTAGTCTTCTTCTTAATCTAAGCAAAAATCCACCTAATCAATCTTCCTGTTAATCTTAGCAAAAAGCCTCTTATGTACCGCATTTCAACCACTGACCCACTTCCCGGAGAGAAGTGTTGTCTATCTATTAATCTAAGTAGCTGACTACCAAAGTACCGATTTTCGTGTACGTCGTAAGCAACGTTTTTTTCGAATATGTCAGTACCTGATCCATTTCACGGGGAGAAGTGTGGTATTCCTGTGAATCTAAGCACAAACCTAGTGCTAACCTATGTATTTATGTTCAAGAAAGTTCTGCCTTAAATATAAGTTTGTCACCTCCACTTTTTATTATTACATATGTATACCTACAGTGGCTGTTGATCAAGCGCCTACCAACAACCACACACACCAACAACCACACACGTCAAAACAAACTACCGCACAAAAAGGAGATGACAAACAGTAACAAAGCGACCGGCCAGCTTAGTGAAGATGGCGTGGGTCGCTAGCTACGTACAATAACAAAATCCAACGGGGAGAAAAACAACACCAAGCACTACTCCCGTGCAGCCGAGGGTAACTTTAACCCGCCTTTATGACTGGGCTCTGGATGCGGGATGCTAGAAGGATGGGTAAGGACGTAACGAGGGTAATGACACTGTCGGCACGACAAAGCGTACGCAAGCAATAAATTTACACAATGACACTTATCAGCTTCTCGGTCAAGTGTGGGTTCCCAACTTCGGTGTTCCTCCAGATGATGCCGACGCCAAACTCTGGATCCGCCACTGGCATATAAAAAAACACCTATTTTGCACTGGGCTTCGACTGCCCTTAAACAAGCACCGACTGGCTTAAAATTTTCACTACTTGCCTCGACTGGCAAACCACTACTCTTTGTTTAAAAATAAAAAAATATCACAAATTTTTTTTTTTTTTGAAAGCAAATCGCACGCCTGCGTAAAATGAAGTTCGCACTTTCGTAGTTCGCAAGAATCTGATCCGGCACGCACTTACGAGCCAGGCCGCAAGCTATGTGTCGGCCTTCAAAATTCTCCTGCGAGTGTGTATTGGTGCCAACTTGGGCAAAACAAAGGAAATGAATATACAAACACAAGAGAAGTTTTTGTTGCGGCCAGTACGCGACAAGTTTTCCAAATAAGTTGACGAAGAGAACAATTGTCTTTCTGTTAATCTAAGCAAAAGGTCACCTATATACCTAATTTCAAGTAAATCCAGCCATCAATATACTTTTTTCAAATAGGTCAGTCTCTGAGCCAATTGCCGAAGAGAATATTAATCTTCCTGCTAGTCTAAGCAAAAATCCACCTATTTACCGAATCGCAAGTAAATCCGGCAATGAAAATACTTTTTTCGAATAAGTCAGCCATTGGCCCAAATTCCGGAAAGATGTTTAGTTTTCCCTTTTATTCTAAAAGGAAGTCAACCAATGTACCGATTTTCGTATAAGCTATAAGCAACGTTTTTTTCGAATATGTCAGTGCAAGGTCCATTTTACGGAAAGAAGTGTAATCTTCCTCTTAATCTTAGTAAAAATCCACCTATGTACTATGTTCTGCCATAAATAAACTTTTTTCAAATAGATCAGTCTCTGGCCCAATCGACGAAGAGAATAATAGCCTTCCTTATAATCTAAGAAAAAAGCCACGTATTTACCGAATATCAAGTAAATCCGGCCATAAGTATACTTTTTTCAAATAGGTCTGTCCCTGGCCCACATTCCGGAAAAAAATGTACTTTTCCCATTAATCTTAGCAAAAATCTACCTATGATCTCTGGCCCTATTGACGAAGAGAGGAATAATCTTCCTGATAATCGAAGCAAAAAGCCTCCTATGTTCTTGTTTAAGCGTCTACTTATATGCTTAAACCACCGTAAATAAAAAAAAATAAATGTAACTGCCGTGCGCGTGGAATTGCCCGTCTTTTCCCACTATTTCCGTGTGCCCCATCACGCGCCATTGCCTCTATCCTTTTTGGCCAAATTTCGTTAGCCGATCGACCGCTTAGCGGCGGCCGTTCGAGCTAACGAAAAACCACTCTAAATCTAACAACCCTCGCTCGCGCACGGCAGCCTTTGAACCGCGGACACTGTTTTTTGAATAAATTATTATACTAAGTTATTAGTTATAAGTGAATAATTTGTGAAGTAACATTAAAGTGAATTTTTATTTCCACTGTGGGCCCGCTCGACAGCCGGCATCTCCTTACTTCCCCTCAAGTCCTTGTGGACTTGAACATTGGTTCCTCGAGGCTAAATCTACTGTCTACAGCCGCTTCAAAACACAAAAAAAAAACCTACGTACCCCTGTACGATCGGAAAAACAAAAAGATTTTAACAAACATAAATATCGTGAAGTAAAGTTGTAAAAACTGTGGTAAAAAAAAAAAAATACAATAATATTTAACATACTAATAAAAAGTGGTGAAAGAACAAAAGTACATATACACATATATTCAAAAAAAAAAGAAATTTTAAACATACAATATAATCATATTTGAAAAAAAAAATAATAAAAATAAATATAACAAAAAAAAGCTGGTGGTGCAAACAATAAAAGAAAATTTTTTTTTTAAATATTTACAAAAAAAATTACTTACATACGTATACAAAAAAAAAAATTGGAAAATTTATTGACATACAAAAATATGTACATACATATACACATAAACAAGTGTTNACAATGTCATTAGATACTGTTCCCGATTCGGTGATTCCCCTATTCAGGATCACACGGAAACGTACCTAAAAATTAAAGACAAATCACTAGATGAGTGTTGGGCAGAATTCAAAACTGTCTATAAAGAGGTTTGTTCAAAGCCCGTTGAATGTCTGCCCGAAAATTTTAAAATTTCAGCAGACAATAAATATTTCACATGCCATGATACATATGAGCATACAAAGATGAGGATAGCAGACCAGCTCGAATTAATTCGCGCAGCTACTCAGCCGAGTCCACCTTCTCGTGTGGAACGAATTCCAGAAGAAGCTTCCTCTTCAAATATATGCCTGAAAGTCCCAGCCTGCGACACAGAGATATTCTATGGGGGCTATGAGGAAGGGCCAGCTTTTCGTGATATGTTCACAGCTGTCTACATTAACCACCCTAAGCTCTCCCGTGCACAAAAGTTGTATCATCTCCGGTACAAAACGGAAGGCAAAGCTGGCTCAATCGTCAAACAATACCCATTGAGCGATGATAACTTCGAGCTAGCATGGGAGGCATTACGGGCGAAATACAAAAACAAACGTATCCTAGTAGACAACCAAATAAAAGTCATACTCTCGCTGCCCAACGTACAAACCGAAAATAGCGAGCAAATACAAAGACTGCAAACAACAATAAATGGCTGTCTGTCCGCCTTACATTCCCAAGGCGTATCTACAGACAGTTGGGATCCAATGTTAGTCTATATACGCTCCTCGAAACTACCTGAAACCGCATTATCCTTGTGGGAGCAATCTCTTGCATCGCGAAAAGAGTTGTCAGCATGGTCGCAAATGAATGACTTCCTCACTTCTAGATACGAAGTGGTGGAGCGTCTTAATCGGCTTCATCCAAGCCAAAACAAACCGAAACCAGTCGCCACTCAAAACATCGCTCACAATAGATCCTTTAACAGGATACAATCATTTGTGGCGGAACAAAACAGGGATAACACATGTCCGTGTTGCAATTCCCGACACGCGATTTCGCAATGCCACAATTTCAAGAAAATGTCGGTATCTAGCAGAATACGTTTTTCAAAGCAGAATAAGCTCTGCAAAAACTGCTTATCAAGAAGTCATCACAGTAATGATTGTACTAGCAGGTTTGCATGTGCACATTGTCAGTTACGGCATCACTCCTTGTTGCACCTAAATGCAAAACCAAACGCTCAAAACGCCAGCAGCAGTTCTCATAACTATACTGTGCAACACCCAACTGCCAAGTCTACTTCCACAGTTCGACAAGCGCATACAAGCTCCAGTCCAAGCGAGCAACCGTGCTGCTCTAAGCAAGCACAAATTCAATCGTTACATGCGGGACACGATAGCAGAACTCTCCTTCCAACTGCCATTATCGCAGTGGAACTTTTCATCGAAAGTTCAGAAAAGGTTGCGTCTTCCAGTCGAACATTCCAAGTTCGAAATTTCTGGAATGGGTGGACACATCGTCCAAAACACATCCAAACTTTGTTCCTTGACTTTGGTATCATCCAAATCAAGCAACGGATCAACGCCCAAGCCATCGTGCTACAAAAGCTAACGAGGCATTTGCCAACCTTTACCTTAAGCCGTAATACCTGGCAACAGTTCAAAATCCTTGAACTAGCTGACCCAAATTGCCATATACCAGCTCAAACCGACATGGTAATAGGCAGTGACATACTCCCACAAATTCTCGTGGAAGGTGTACAAACAATTTGCGACACAGTACTTGCGCAAACCACTATATTTGGCTGGATCCTTAGCGGTCCAGTAACCGAAAAAGTGGTGTCATTCTCGACACAAGTAGAAGAAATCTCAACTGATACACTTGGTGATCAATTGAGAAAGTTCTGGTAAAAGGAAGAAATTCCTTCAACTCCACAAATTACTAATGAGGATCAAGCTTGCGAAAACATATACAAGCAAACCACGACTCGTGCCCCAAACGGTCGGTATATTGTGCGGCTTCCATTCAAGGAAGATTTTCCCGCAAAACTCTCTTTAGGCCACTCCCGGTCTGCAGCGCTTCAAAAATTTTTCAGTATGGAGCGCACGCTAAAGAAAAGAGAAGAGTTAAACATAATGTACAACAATGTGCTGCAAGAATATCTTGACCTCAACCACATGGAAACCTACTTGCGTGAAATAATCTCCAGTGGTAACTATCACTCATTCTACTTGCCACATCATGCGATTGTAAAACCGGATAAAGTGACCACTAAAGTTCGAGTGGTGTTTAACGCCTCAAGAAAATCGAGCTCAGGCAATTCGCTTAATGATGTTTTGCATACTGGTCCTACTCTCCAACCAGACCTCATGCTGCTCATTCTTTAATGGCGCATGTACAAGTTTGTATTCAATGGAGATATTGAAAAAATGTATCGTCAGATATTGATTCACGACGATGATAAACAGTTTCAGCGAATCATATTTCGTAAATCGGCTGAATCTCCTGTCACCGATTACTGCCTGAAAACTGTTACATTTGGGGTCAATTGTGCACCATACCTTCCCATCCGTACATTGCATCAACTTGCGACGGATACTGCGGCAATATATCCATTGGCTGCACCAATAATACGAAACCAAACATATGTCGATGATATTTTATCCGGTAGTGATGACATAGAGAGTGCTTCTGAATCACTTTTCCAAGTGGTCAGTGCTCTAAAATCTGCTGGTTTCATACTTTAAAATTTAACGGCAAATAACACAACCATACTGCAACAATATCCCAAAGAGGATCTGCTCGATTCAAACTGAAATTCTGAAATTCGAGAGTGCTTCTAACACCAAGTCTCTGGGTATCCAATGGAACGCTCTAACAGATAAGTTTACCTAGACAATTCTGCCAGCTACTTCAGCAAATGCGGTCACTAAGCGACAAATTTTATCGTCGGTTGCAAAACTTTTTGACCCGGCAGGATGGCTGTCGCCAGTTATGATTCAAGCAATAATTCTGTTGCAAGAACTCTGGCTAGACGGCACTGATTGGGATGAATGTGCTAAACCCACAGCTTTGTCAAAATGGCACACCTTTGCAGAAAATCTGCCAGCCATTTGCGCAATCGAAATACCACGCTGGGTAAATTTCGCTCCGGGGCAAGACACCCAAATACACGGGTTTTGCGATGCTTCGGAGAAAGCATATTGTGCCACAATTTACATCCGCACACATGCTAACAATGAAATAACATCCACCCTCCTGGTTGCAAAAGGAAAGGTAGCACCGTTGAAAACGGTAAGCTTACACGCAACATATTTCTATGGTCAGATTCTGAGATCGTATTGGCATGGCTCGAGAAGCCACCACGCACATGGAAGACCTATGTATCAAACCGAACTCTCAAATCCGAGAATATGTTCCAAGCGGTACATGGCGTCATGTTGCAAGCGGAGATAATCCCGCAGATCTTGGTACACGCGGCTGCAAGCCGCAGGACTTAGCTGCCAATTCACTTTGGTGGCACGGACCGAAGTGGCTCTC